GACTTTTGYTTATTGTTTTGTTTTAGTATGAAATTACATCGTATTTTAATTATTGAACGTTGCTGTACTGCGTATACCTACAGTAAGTCAGTAAAGCAAGTACAGCAATGGTTTTTTATTATTTTTAAACCAATACCGATTAAATAGCTGAAGAAAATTCGATGTTTTCTAGAAAAATTAAATTCATTCCTATATACGTCATGTAATAAAAATAGTAACTTCTAAATAAAGTTGCGAAGGCGGGTGTAAATTCAAAATTAAAATACACTAAAATGTATCCCATCACCAAACAAAAATTGATAGATTTAATTATATGCGACACAATAATATTATAATATCTGAAACGATCGAATGATGAGTGCTGCTCTCAAAAATATAGTTTTAAAATATTATTTTATTTATCATCGCATCGTGTTCGGCGTTTGTGTCGTGACACGTGGACTATTCTATACTACACCAGACTTAGGTACCTACTCCAATAACAGCTGTGAAAACTTAACACGTACATACTACAGCATGACTGATATTTATAAATACTACTCGTAATTTGTATTTGACTGCACGGCCATGTGATAATAGTGTTATGTCACAATTATTTTTATTTMTCATGACAAAAATAATATGTAAGTGCTAGTAAATTCATTCGCTGATTACAACGACTCTGTATACGCTATTATACAGAAAGTCAAAAAAAAAAAAAAATATAAGAATTTATTATTCATAATATAATGTCCTTATTTCGAATTCATTAACCGCTATTACTTATAAATTATCGATGAACTTCAATGGCRATGTGCTAACATTACAATACATTGTAACAATAACAATGCATATGATTACGATTATCAACATTTTCTAATATTTATGATTTTATAACTAGTATTTTGTTTTCCTTTTAAAACACTCTAAATCATAAATTATAATTGTATAATTAATTATTATGTAAGTTACTATGGAGTTATTATACATGATGAATGAAATCAGTAACCTGCAGTAACCTTTTTCAAATTATGTAAGCAGAATAACCGTTTGTCTAAATCAACAACCATCAATAATTGTCGAGTGGCTTGGTGAGACGCGGTCGTACGCTCAATCTGCGAAAACGCACTGAGCGTACGTACTGGCCGCAGTTGCTAGCTCCCGGATGGGTGATCACCCGGGATTTTTAGCAACATATTCTTAGCACACATACACAAACACGTGTTATAACCCTATCCACTTAAAAACCTACCAACAGATACACAAAAATAACCCCTGCCATACCACCACCGCACACCCAATGGCCATGTTGTCATGGGTTCCTCTTAAAAAAAAAAAAAAATAGTCGTCGAATAACATAATCATAGTACCTACCCATTAGAATCCAAGACAAACTACTATAATATGTGAATGTAAAAATTACAAATATTCGAAATATTTTGAAATCGGTGGTYTTGAGTCGGCCATGTACTGTGTCGGTTTCAAAATTAGGTCGTCGAACGTCGTTCGCAAGAAATAACTTTCAATATTATGAGATATAAGTAATTTTATTTATAATTTCCAAGGAAGGAAATTTTAACATAATTTCTTGTGTGTAATAAAAACAACATAATTGTAAAAATATGTGATAAATATCGTGACTAAAATAACGGCGCTTTTGTTTCGCTACACAGTTTCGACACACAGTTTGAATAATATTGACGAAATGAATGAATCATGAATGGGAGATTTATGAATGAAAATTCTGTTTCAAATATACGTACTACAAATTACAATCTGCGTTCGATGGGTGACATTGCGATTTTCAGACTTGATATTATGATATAAGGCTACTCGTAAATATAATTACTACACCAGTATAATGAATATTCCGTAATAAAAATATTTCAATATGTTYCATCGTCGAAATTCAACCATTTTTACGTATTCATAAAACTTTGATTTTGATCAGTCACTATAACTATATTAATTTAATATAATTCTTAATTTATATTATCTTTTTTTTTATTATTATTCAATAATAAATTTAAAAATTTTTTTCTGTGACATTACCTATACATATATTTTATATTTATTAGGTAACTGCATTGACATATATTTTTATTTAATATTTAGTTTTCTTAATTAAGTCGAGAACATTAAATAAACTTGAAAGAAACGGATGATTYGAAATAATATTGAAGTGAATCATTCAGTTTTCATGTTTTTTGTCTGTAAGAGCAGTAGCGTAAGCAGGATTTTAGTTCGGTTAGGGTTTTACATGAGTAAATAATTTACAATATTTTTTGTTAAATGGTTTTTATATAATTAGGTATGGAATTAGTTACAAGTGTTAAAACAAATTATAATTAATAACAAAATTAACAATTTATTTTATATCTATTAAAAATTACCAACACATGATCGACTAAAATTGTGGTAAATAAGATTTTTTTGTAAAAGAAAGCTATTTCAAAGGGGAGAGAATCAAAACCCTACTCCTGCGTACACCACTGTAGGTATACATCTAAGCACCTTTTTATTTTTTACAAATACGCACGTGACAGCTAGTGTAGCTGTATAAATCGGTCTTGTCGGCGCTGTATTTTGCGGTATAAACAATATTAAGGTATGAGATTTGGTCTACGCAAACGTCACTCCATTACCCATATTATCGTATTGTCATTAAATTATGTTAACTATACGCTACGGTACGTCACGCACTTACCGGAATTTCTGACCATCAAAAAGTTCCCATCATGTCATGTCGTTTATTTATTACCTCAGTCTATTGACCAACTCATTCAAGTAATCAGGTGTGCTTACTGCTTACTTTTATCAAATTAAAATTTTAAAGAATTTATCGGAATGATGGGACACGGCCAAAAACACGGTGTAAAATACTAAAGTGCACCGCATCTTGGTAGGTACCTACATTAATGGTGGTGTTCATAACAYCCCGCGTACGTTACGCCTGTTGCCATTTTAGGGAACGTATATTTTGATGTTGGGATAAAATCTTCACCCTACCAAAATAATAATATATTTTATTATTAGTATGCCTACTCGTCGGTTTACGTACCTATATGCATAATATTATTAATATTACTGGCGATTTCGTCTTACAACATTATATAGTCACCGTAAAACCGGTTCAAATAATAATTTTAACATAACTGGTACAATACACGCGATACCCCTACAGTATAGTTTCACAAAACACAATCCACACTCACACACACACACACACACACACACACATAATATTATAATAATATTGTTTGTATAGAACGGTTGTTCGCTCGACGGTTCTAATTTATAATATTATACAGACACACGGGCATACACTCGCGAGTTATTATCGCTGCACGGCTGCACATTACTCATATACATCACAATATCACATTGGTCGTAAGATAAAACGTACAACGTTTCATTTTTATTCTCGCACGTGTTTGCGGGACGAACAAATAATAATATTATTATGTAAAGACTGAACGCGACCGTTTTCAAGGTCGGAATGATATAATATTAAGAATCGTATAAAAGCCAAAAAAATAAAAAGGAATGAAGTGTGAACAGTATCGAAAGCTAGACATTTTTTTGAAGATATAGAACACTTTGGTTGATCGTGAATTTATTGTAATCACTAATCAATGATAATGTGTATTGTTATTAGTAAGTTATGAAACAATAGGAATAATATAATAGACATCAATTCATTGTGCACTATATTTTACTGTACATTTCATTGCAGATGGAAATTATGATTTATTCTGATCGGAGCGATATTTGTATTGTTTTTAAAGTAATGTTTTTCTTTGTGTGTGTATAGCCTACACGATAAGTAGAAAAAAAAAATGATCAGTTATCAATAACGCTAGGAAAAAAAATTAAGAAAAACCAGAAGTTTTTACCTCAAAATTGGTTGTGGTTTTTGGTGGAAAAAATAACCGTGGACACGTACGATTTTCACTGAATGTTTATCATACTAGGATTTTCTAAACACCAAATAATTGTTTTAATATCGTGAATCATATCGAGCTATTTATAGGCATAAGAAATTTCCATTTTTTTTCTTTTAACTAATGRAGGTAAAAATAAAATACACTCGATCAATAATCTAATTTTTGTGTAGGCTACGTCAATCGCGGTTTTGTGAATTTAATGTTTTTGGATTTTGAATTTGTCCACATATACCTATATAATATTACATAACCAGGGTCATGTTAGTGTACTTATAAAATATGATTAGTGTTAGGCCGGATGACGATGACCAATTTAATGTAAATTGATTGCTAGCAGGTCATTCAACCGTCACATTTATGACATACGCACTGGGTGATTATTATTGTTACGACTATAATTTAGAAAATAAAAAAATCAGAACGAAGGTATATAGTTGTTATGTGCCGAGTTCGTGAAATTACCAATTTGCGGACTAAAACTACTGTCATTATAGGACAAAACAAGAGATTTAGTGTTGTATTTATATCGCAGACGGACGCCGTCCAAATAATTAAAACGCGATTTTAAGGTCGTCCGTCGCACCATTTGGCCAAAAGATTGCTGCAGACTCTTCCGTTTTACATTTTTTCTATTTTATTACAACCCATCTTATTTTTATTATTATTACTGACATTATATTGTATACGATTTCGCCTGCAAAGTCTTCCGCACGAAACGGCTCGGAGACGTGAAAATAATTCGTATATACTTTCGTAGCGTCGTCGTTCGTCGGTTGACGTTTTTTTTTTTTAACGCTGTCGCGTTCTTGACACATATTTTTACGTTCTATTATCCGATCGTCGGGCAGCGCTTTTCGTTTACATTTCGACAAAGCGAGTCTTGTGTCCGATTTATAGCCAACATCATCGGCCATCGCTGTTATACTTTTAGACATACAGTGCCAAACGACGACGACGACGACGAACTATTGTACCTATGACTTTTAGTTGGGAGAGCGCGTTTCTCGTAAAACTGATGTTAAAATACAGTGCGGGTCACCTATACCTATAATAAATTATAGTATTGTTACGTACACGAGGAGTCCTCTTCAGGCGGTTTTGATTCGGTGAAATTCCACAAATTGGCAGTTCGTCACTCCTTACGGATATTCTCTGGACCACCAACAACTACTATATAATGTGATGATAATAATAATAATAGTGTAAATATATCGCGTTTCGAACAGTAAACAAAAAAAAAACAAAAAACGAAAAATATGAAATCGTTCGTTCGCAGGTTACGACGACCACCACCCGCGCACTTGCAGCGAGAGAATACAAAATGTTATTTTACTTGTATTATTATAATATTATGTTGTAGGTACGTATATATTATTATTTACGATAATTTATTTTATTTCAAATAGTTGTAAGTCGTATTGGACCGAATGCGGCACACCAATTAATGCGCCGGCGCTCGGCAGCCAACAGGTCAATCTCTGCYATAATAATAAATAGTGCCATGACTGCATTGCCGCCTCCTCCTACTTCTCATCCATCCGATCGTTTGAAAAAAAAAAAACAGTCGACAGGGCGGACAACGGAGGTACGTGAAATATCCCGCAGTTTTTGTTTCTCGTTTCCCGTGAACCGATTTAATATGTTAACCCAAGTACACGCCGCCGTCGCGTAACAGTGACACACATTGAGGGCCAAGGGGTTGTGACTTATGGAGGGAGTGCCATACGCCAAAATCGTGAACCCTGTGGCAGCGAAACAACAGTGAATAGYGATAAATGATAATAATATTATGTGGTCTATTAATGAACACCTCCGTGGTTCGGACACAAATAATAATTATGACGGTGTTATTCATAGTCGTTGTCAAAAACGAAATCGGTTTTCCACGTTTGTTAACTGCTCGAGGTGAAAAGTCACGAATTTTGTGTACGACATACCTATACAATGAGCGTTCAGCTTTCGAAAATCGATATTTTTTGCGAAATTCATAATTGGCAAGTTTTTTATATGGATTTTTATGAATAAAGTATATTTTCCGTCATCTAAAATGCAAATCTCTTAAATTCCTCACGAGTTTAACATGTTGTTGTTGTACATTAGCCATATACATATTTTTTCGTGAAGTATAAAACGGTTCACAAGTTTATAAATCATAAATAAATAAAATTAATTAATAATAAGATAACAGTAATTTTTATAATAAATAGGTTTAAAGCTAGTGTATGCCTATAGTTTATAAATCGGAGGTTTATCGTTGAACTCAGTATATGGTCTGAATAAAGTTTATCGTCTATGAATACCAAAAAAATAAAAATAAATTAAATAAATAATTGTTAAACCCGGTCCAAATTGACTATGAATAACACTATTGGTGTTCAAACAACGATTTAAAATTAATAAAAACGTTATTAGGACTGATTGACAATATATTCATAATGACTTCGATTTTATCTATAAACAATAACATTGTTCATAATAAATTATGTCTATGAATCTGRCCCCTCATCACTTCAATGAACCATTAGAGTTGTGTGTGCTTAGTGTTTGTTACCGATTAGTATAATATCCATTTCACCGATGCACGAGGAATCTAGGTCAGCCAAAGTCGGTTAACCCGACAAGGCTTTTGAACAAATTAAGAATTATTGTATGCTGTGAGGCATAATAATTATGCTAAGAATTACACCAGCCAGATTTCTGGAGGCTGCACAAAATATACACTAGCCAAGTCACAAGAGTAGTATTAGGATAGTATTAAAATGCAGTCTCTGGTGTTTAGTGGATCGATGTGCTGTATAATAATTGGTTTTTTTGCTCCAATGACTAAAATACTGCATAGGGGCATATCTTACGAAACTTGTATACCCCTATATGACAGCTACGCAATGGAAAACGCACGTTTCATAATATTCATTATGTCAAAACTAATTGCATAATATTACCTATATTGTTTCGTGTTTTTGTTATCAATTTAAAATTTTTTCAAAATACCAAAGAACTATTATTTAAAAAAATGTATCTGTTAGTTTTTTAAAATTCATGAAAATTCAAAACACGTATTTGTGTTTCCCATTTAATATAYAGGTACCTATACCTAACAATTTTATTTAATCGACATGTATTTCAATTATTGAAATATTGTAAGGTAAGTTGGTTAATAGAACAAGTAACTTATAAAAGTGCCTATGTTTTTCAACGTCCAAGAGTGTTCCTTTTACTTGAAAAAAAAAATTTTAATACAAAAATAGTAATTTTGCTTATGTATACTAGTGTACGTTATAGATTTYGAGAAGAACAAGAAATAACCATGTTGTTATTCTCTATTGTGCTTCTGTCAGATTTGGATCAGAAACTTTTGCTGCAATCATCAAATTTTAAGAAGATTTCTAAAAATGTTAATTACTTAGTTGGTATTTTGGTCTTTTGGGTAGCAAAAAGTTGGGAAATTCTTTGTTAATTTCTTAATAATTTGGAAATACGTATCTGTAGACATGAGTATTTACGTAACAYCAATTCTCAACATAATAGTTTTGTTGTAATTCAATAAAGATAAAAAATTAAGTGTAAAGACTTTACATTTTCATTAAATATTTATGTCAAATCGATATAATTTTAAAAATATCTCAGCTTATTTTCAGCTATTTTTGACATGCTTTGGTATTTTATTTTTTATATTATTTTAKTTTTTTATTTATTCATGTTAATTTAAATACATTTTCTTGGTCAAAAAGTTTTTCGATTTTCCAAGAAGTAGTAGGATAAAATGTCTAACCAAATTTGTATGTTAAACATAATTCCGCTTACCTGGACGTCGACTTCTGTTATTTAGTCACTATTATAGTCTTCAAAGTCACTGATTGCCAACACATTTGTCCACCAGTAGTTTTTGCATTTCTTCGGCYAACGGTACATTTTATACGTCCAAAACGGGCCATAACTGTTATATACGGTACGAATACGCAGTCAATAGCATCAGCTAACCTAGGATGATAGAATCCTGTGAAATATAATAATAGTATGGAAGACATAAAACCTTTACGCGACGATAAAGTTATCTCTGAATGTCTAATTCGGTAAATTATTATTTTTTATTAACCTCAATCTATTCAGAAACCTTGTTTTTCGACTGACAGAATGGCATAAGTAATAATAGGCAACCGTCTCATACTTATACTAACATATTATATAGCCAATCAGCTCCCATAGAAAAAATAGTAAACTCGATGGGGAAAAATTATTCTTCAAAGTTCAAGTTGTATAATATAGGTCAACTAATATTGAAAAATGAAATTGATCCGTTGTCCGAAAGATCTGCTGTAGTGCTGTCTGCGCATAATATAATGGCCTACTTAAAGTGTTATATATTGTTTTAATTAAAGCGTTCAATTCCTGATTTTTAGAATCGTGACTTATATTACTTATTCTTCATAAAGAATATTATGTTCATTATGTATCGTCTTACAAGACAATTCCATCAAAGTCTCGTTTCGCATCGCATTACAATATTTACATGAATTCTCACTTATATTGAGTTATATACAGTATTAATTATAATAAATATTTATTTGAAATTTGTACAAAAACGTATGAAATAAGTCTAAAGGCGCAGTTTACTGACTCGTACAATAAAAGGAATATTTTACTTAAATACGCAAATATTTTAAGATTATAAATCCAACTTGCCTTATAATGCTTATTGCTTATAAATTCAAATTTTATAACTCTGAATCATTTTTGAGTATATTTTATATTTTATTTTTTGTTATTAAATTTAGACACTTATCATATTATGCCATTCCAGTTAAATGAATTTTACTGAAGTTATTACAATAGAGATTAAACCAAAACTGAAAATTATGTTTCAAGGACTGAAGTCATAAATAACAATTAATGAAACATGATTTAGGCCTAACGATATTTCTTGGATTTTAATGACCGACACCTGCAGACTTGACTTTCCAATATCTATAATTTTAGCTATTCAACAGACGCTGAGTTTAACGACCGCCGCAGCGCCGCACTCAGATCAATGACTATAAATGGAATATAAAGAAATACGAGATTAAGGACAACGCTATTTCCATAACCTGTGTATACTATTATTCTGGAAAGTGTCCGGTTCCTGTTATAGCAACCTATATCGAAAAATGAAATTCCAATCTCTTCACAAATAGCTCCACGCGTTTAGTCACAGTAAATCTCTAGCTTGATTTCGGTTATGTGCTTATCACTTGATACCGAACCGCTGAACTTACAGTCATACAATTACATTCAAGACAGTCGTCGTTTTAATAGGTGGAAATCCTTCCGAATTCTCTGATTTTGGAGTGACAAACGGGAGACAATCCGTCCAGATGAGCACCGGTCGTTGGTCGATCTCTTCGCAGAATATAGTATTATAATATATCACAGATCTGTAAAAGTCATCGAATAAAATCTAGTAAAAATAAAAATAAATATATACACTACTGCAGTAATTACTAATTTCACACCTCCGAACCACTGACCGTGAACAAAAAATACGACCATTCTGTGCTTAATGCAAATACTGAAAATTGCATATAGGCAAAATTATAATAAGATCGTAAATTATTCAAAACTCTGCCAATGCTCCACACTTATGTCCCCAGCTGACATAATTTTGTATCGTTTTGAGTGGTTTTAAACCAGCTAGTGATCACACACATGGGTTAGGTTTAATGTCATACGCACTGACAAGTCTGCACCGAAATAACATTATATCAATTTGCTTTTATTTTTCATGGTTTACTATTGCAGGGAAACATTCTGTGGAAATTCAAGCCAAACGTTGGCAGTACAACGAATAATTTGACGCGTCATACCATGTAATATGACGAACCGGTTAATTTGACGTTATAGTTAGCAGCCCCCGAATAATTAATATCAGATTACGACGGATTTCGTTATTCTTGGATTTATAATTAAATTTAGAGACAACCAGAACGTGTTATTATTATTATTTATAACAACAAAAAGGATGTCAATTAATTTTTAAAAGTTCATGGATTTAAGCATTTTTTTTTTTAAACATTACATGACGTCTACATATTTATTTTAAATTCATATATTGCAAGTCTTAGAACGTTACGTGTTTTTTTACAGATTATGCACAAATCATTTTTTATGAAAAAAATCGTTTAGTTTTTAGTTTATATAAATATTTTATTCAATACAATRTTATTATTGTTGAAATACGACGTGTGTATATGAACATGACGTATGAACATTCTATTTCATAATGTAATGATAATTTTTGACAAATTTGTAAAGTATAATAAATAAATTAAATTACAGAGCTTATTAGATTTTTCAATGTATTTTGTATTGTATTAAAACATGTAAGAGAAAAAGGGAAATAATATTTTCTTGTCTGCATGGTAGGTATCATAATAATATGAACGATACAAGCAAAATCATTAATTTTAAACTAATAAATGAACATGGAAAGAATAAT